TTCCCCCTATGCATCACAACCATGTCATCGGGCTTCGGTGTAACTACGGTCGCCTCACTCTCCACCGAAACCACCACCAAGATTGGAATGGAACCCTCATCTTCAATCTCGGCAGTGTCGCGGCCAACCACAGATGTGTAGGCTTCTCTCCCCACTCATTTGTTATCCTCTCTGCGTTTAGAATCAATTTCCGCATTCACCTTCGTCTCTAATCAAGAGATTTCCTGCTCAAACATAAGCTTTTGTTGGAACCAGTTTATCTAAATTTGTTGCCTAGTACCAGAATTTGGTTATTGGAACGTATGAGCCAATACATTTGTGAATATTTCTTTTATTATTCATCTCATTATGTCTTTACCAAAGACTTTTGGAAAGCTCCAGTTTCGTCAAAGGTAAGGGTGTTTGCATGGATGACCATTCATCGAAGGGTTACTGCTAATGAGATGTTATAAATTGGGAAATTTAATAGAGCTTTATCTCCAGATATCTGCTTGATATGTTAGAAGGGAGGGGTGACACACTCCAATTTATTTACCATTATGAGGCAATTACGGAACTTATGGATAAGAACAATGAACTGATTTGGTTTAAGCTGGATGGCTCCTCTTATGATAGGGAGCGTTATGGGATTGTGTTTTCATGTTGAAGGGGGGTTAGGAAGGTGGTAACACCATATGGCAAGGGACAATTTTTGCTGATTTGTGGTGCATATGACTTGAGAAGAACCTTAGAATATTTCACAATCGATACTTCTCATTCCGTGAGCTGCTGGAAAGGGTAAGATATTTTGCCACCTTATAGGCCAAAGCTCAGGAGAATTATTTCGATTAGTTGTTTCTTAGCTTCATCAGAACTGGGAAGGGGTCCTTTTTTCTCCACAAGTGCTTTTGGCTGCTTTGATTTTTGTACAATTGTTTCTTCTGTTTACATTTTTTGAGTAGGATGTTTTGTACTCCACATATGTATTCTTTTCTCTGACTTCCTAATAATGCTTCCTTTTTCCATTTAAAGAAAGTTTGAAAGATTGTATTGCTTAACTCCGGCCAAATCAACCACATTCTATCAAAAATAGCACATCACTAGAGAGGTTATACTCCCGATTAAATGTTGGGCCCATCAATGCCAAAGTGGGAATCCTTCCACATGCCCATCAATGCCAACGTCTCCATAACATGGCACGAGATTCTTTAAGCCATTTCATAATGCAGGAAGAGATGATAGTAAATCTTAGCATCTTTCTATCATGTAAAAAATACCCATGGTTACAAAACACAATTTTGTAGCAAATAATTAGCGTTAATCCTATTTTCAATTGTGGTCCGTGAAAAAAGTTTTCACTTTAAAGGGAGTCATACCCTTTTGTAAAGGCTTATGAAGAAGAACATTCAGATTAACATGGATTGCAGGTAAAGTGCATGTAAGATTTATAGGAATATAAACTTGAGAACTACACCCGACCAAAGGCCAGATTCTGCAATCTGGCTGATTAGGAAATATCAACGAATCGAGAATCTTGCCAAGATTAGCCATTTCTTTGTCTTCTCAATCGTTAAGATTTCTAAAGAAAGCAAAATCTCACGAGAGGAATCATTGCATAGAATCATAATGAAGCAAAATGGGAGAATAATGATTATTAGATAACATATATATTCTTGGGAAACTAGGTGACAAATTTTCATTGGATCGCTTGGGATGTAATGAGTCAATATGGAGGTTGAGTGCTATTCTCAACGAAGTCCTTCTGCTTACATATCCAATAGTCTTGCTTGCTGTGCCTTTCCTTGGAAGTAAATTTGGAAAGAGAATGTATTGCTTAGATTTTCTTTTTTTTTTGTTCTTTTTTTCTTTTGCTTTGGAGGTTGTAAAAAGACAGATCCTTACAACTGAAAACTTACAAAGGAGAGCTATGACCAGATCTTTAGCAAAAGGGTGTTATTTATGTAAGGGGTCAACTGGGATTGCAAATCATGTTTTTTTTCCTTATTGAAAATGAAGATATATTCATAGGAAGAAAGAGATACAAAGGAGGATTGAGTATCCTTTGCCAGGATTAGCCTTTAGGTAGCATAGTATTGTGTAGACTGCATGAAGGTGCACCTCTCTCAAGCTATGTATAAATTTGCTAATCTCACTTGCGACTTATGCAATGTTCGGAATTTTATGAGCAAGACATCAAGTTTTCCTCCAAGCCTTTGGTAAATTTCTTTGTCTTACAACTAGATCTTTTTTTGCCTCTCCTAGTTGATTAATGTGAACTTCTTGGGTCTAATCAATGTTGTTGAAAGCAACACGATTTTTCGTTTTGACATCTTCTCCAAGACGTGCGTTGAGTCTTCCCTTGCAAGAATCCGGTAATAGAGGGATTTGGTAAGGATCCTGGCGATTTAGGCTGAGGGAGTTGGCGATGAAGATTGGCTTAGTTGTGCGTTGATGAAGAGGAAGCTAACAGTAAAAGTTGGCTTTGGCGTTGCGCGGGTACACGTAGAGAGAGTAGGCATGTAGTAGGATAAGTGCGTGCTAGTGTAGCTTTAGGAAGACAAGATTCAAATTTGATTTACACGAAAAAAAAGAGTGTGTAAACTGCAATGAAGTTCTTGCGAAATCTAGAAAAAGCTTAGAGCTCTGTTATCATGTATGATTTAGTGAGAAACTGAATTTCTTGTATGTTGAGAAGGAGTGTCTGCATTTACATTTAATATATATACATATATGTGTATGTGTATTGATTTATAGCTTTTACAAAAAGGAAAATAGTAAACTAATTGCATCAAATAGATTCAAGACAAATCAAATTTCCAAATTAGTAGGATTCCTGATCGGTATTCCATAATTTTGGAAGATTTATTTCTTAATGCTAATTTATAATATTGAAAGAAAAATTTCCAACAATTAGTGTAGATTGCAAATCGTTTATTATTATGGTGTTGCTTCTCTTATTGCCTTTGGTGCTCGACTTTTAATTTCCTTAATCTAGATTTTGCTCTATCTATTTAGGACGAGCTTTGGGCTTATCAGAGTATTTGGGGTGCAAGAAGAGGAGTAAAGTAGCATCTTTTGTTCCATTGGGTAGCATGAGGGTTATTTGGAAGCAAAGGAATTTTAGGCTTTTGAGTACTTAGCCTTTTTCTTTTGACAAAGTTAAACTCTTGGCTTCAGACCCTGATGGTTTCGGTAATCTTTTTTATACTAACTAAGATTTAGGAGACCATGTTGATATTTTGATTAACAAATTAACCACTGTCTTCCGAAAATTATTGATGGTATACAACATATAACTAGCCTAACAGAGCCAATTATTTTGTGTATTGGATTACAAATCAAAGAGAAATCGAGGATATGATATAAAAATGACAAATAACTTTTAAGACGGAAATACTCCTACAAATGCTATATTTTCGTCTCTTTAAAATTTGAATCATAGTATTCATTCTTATTGGATTGGGAATGAAAAACAAGACATACTTTTTCTAGAATTATAGACAAATGAATTTCTAAAAAAAAAAAGAATTCTAGACAAATGGAAGTCTAACTCCTAAATAAGCATTTCTTGAAGCCTTCTGAAATTCGATTAGTTTATTCATTCCTTTTTTCCGTGCCGAAGAAGGAAGGTTCTACTTAGAATATGACTGTAAATCATCTCCTTTTTGTACGGGGTGGTAGTCCTCGTGTCTTGTTTATAAATTACTTTTTTATTTCTTAAGAAAGGAGAAATGCATGTTGTATGTATATCTGGGTTTTTTCTATTAAAAAAAATTATGTATTTAGCTTTTAGTAATAGCAGAAACTTTTCCTTCTTTTTCCTTTTCAAGTTTTAAGAACATGTCATGTTTTAGTGTTTTGACTTGTATGTGTTTATGAGATCATGCGTTGAAATAATTCTGAAATGATACCTGGCTTATAGGTTCTGCATTTACTTCGAAGATATTTGGGGGAATATGTCCATGGACTATCAACAGAGGCTTTAAGAATCAGCGTTTGGAAAGGTTGGTCATTGAATCATTAATGTACTTGTACATTATGACCTACCATTATCTTGAATTAACATATTGTAACCTACCACTTTGTTATTGTGACCAACCACTTTGTGGGATTTTATATGATTAAATTCTCCTTGTGGAAAAAATGTATATGGATGAGCAAAATCATGCTACACTATGCTGGTATAAGAATTCTTTAATTTGCTACTAGTACCCCCTGGCTGCCTACACCATTTTATGTCAACTATAACTCTTTCATAGTTCATTGTTTAATTGCTCCTTTTGCAGGGGATGTTGTTCTCAAAGATTTAAAATTGAAGGCTGAGGCACTCAATTCACTTAAACTTCCAGTCACTGTCAAAGCTGGTTTTGTTGGCACCATAACGTTAAAGGTTGAGATATCATCACTTACAGTTGACTGGCTATCTTTTGTGTATATACAAATCTTTTATAATGTATATATAAATTATCTATGCTGTCAATATATATAATACATATATACGTGTACATATATTTGATGAAAAATGAAATATATTAGTTAAAGGGAGAAGAGAGACATCTTAAATGAGAATAAGCTATTGTTTAAGGAAAAAGATGCATTAGAACAAATAAAAAAGGAGCTAAAAAACAAGACAAGATCTATACAAAATAGTAACTCAGGCTTGTGGACAGAGGCATCCCCCTAAAGGAGCTAGGCACATTGATTGGAAAAAGAACAAGTCCCCTTTATTGTGTTCACCCTAGTAGCAAACCTTGTGTCCCATATGTTTAAGATACTGCCTGATGGCCCACCGATGTGAGGAATGAGCACTCTTTAAACCTACTCTCCTACACACTACACACTAAGAAGCTACTTGTATCCTCTTTCTTCGTCTCTTATAGCATGGCTACATCCAGGTTTGGCCTTACAATAATTTCCTTGATATTGTTAGGGTCCTTATTAAGGATCTAGTTATGGGTTCGTTGCTTCTTTGGGACAAGATGAGTTTCAACTTCTCTTTGTATTAAGTTGTATGGCTTTATAAGGATATTTCTTTGTTTATTTCACATTGAGATTAGTACATTTTTCCTTATTGATTTTTTTTTTCTGATGTTTCGGTCATATCTCGGTTTCGTCTATTGTATTTTTCTATTTTTAGAGGATGCTAGTCCTCCCATGATTCTCTTCCTTAAACAGCATCCTTAAAACCATGTAAATTTCTTCCCTTCCAAATAACCCTTTGCCAAGGGAATAGAAGAGGTTAACCCCTTTACCTCTTTAACCTTTTCCTTCGTCTCTATGCCCCATAGATACCTTCTTACCATTCTTAAGCTTATAAATTGTGGAAACTATTCTTTCCTAGAAAGTCTTAATCATAGAGATAATACTCTTGCATAACACCTTAATCATAGAGATAACATTTTTGCTTAACGTTCATAAACTCTTCAACTTGTTTCCTGAAGAGTGGTCACTAGAAACCTTAGGAGTGATTTGCGGGTTTACGGAGAATAAAACAAAAGGATCCTCTCTCACTGTTTATTTACCATAATGTTGAGGTGAATGTTGGCTAGGTGATAGGGAAGAGGGATGACAGAAGATTTGTTGGAAATGATAGAGTAGAGGTATCCCACCTCTAATTTGTGGATGTTACAATTTTATTTCTATCGCATAGCTATAGATTGATCACGGTTCACACTTGTGCAAGTGTTCGAGCACATATTAGAGCTTCGTACAAAATCTAACCAATTATGGTTGGTAGGGATAAATGTGACAGACAAAGATGTGAGCAACCTATCGAGGCCGATAGGATATTTTAGATTAGCTTGGCCAATTACCTATTTAGGTGTACCATTAGGAGGAAATCCTAGAAGTAAGGTGCTGTAGTATGGGTTGGTTGAAAATGTGCTAAACAGGTCATGGAGTTGGAGCAGAGACTTGTTTCCTTTGGTTGGTAGAGTTACAGTAAGTTAGATATGCTTATCTAGTATCCCTATCTATTACTTGTCGTTGTCCCTAATATCAATGAGAGTCGTCGAGGGATTGGAGGGGGTGGTGAAGAAGTTCTTGTGGGTAGGACTAGGGAAGGAGAATGTGAATCATTTAGTTAACTGGGAGATGTTGTTGGTTCAAAACTTCCGGAGGTCTGGGCATTGGGAAATTTGTCACTATTAGTTAAATGGTTATCATGTTTTTCACAGTAACCTGCGTCATTATGGAACATAGTAATTGAAAACATTTATGAGAGTTAATGTAATTGATGAGATGCAGTTGCTAGGAGTTCCATCTAATAAAAGAGTCTAGGAAGACTGTCTCCAGTTTATTGCACCTCTTCACTACCCTTACCCACTATAGAGTAGGAGAGGGATCTAAGGTTTTATTCTGGGAGGACCATTGGAGGGGTGATCATCCCCTGACTTCCGAAATTTCCCCCTATTTAATGTGTCCTTTTGCCATAATGCACCTATCTTTGAATTTGTAAGCCAAACCGATTTAACTTTTAACTTCCACTTTTTCTTAATTTTGAATGACAAAAGAGATTGATGAACTCCTTAATGAGATTACTGGAACCAATTTTCCCCAATAGGCGGATAGGCGGATGTGGATTTTGAAAACCTTAGGCGTTTATGCTTGCAAATTCTTTTTTGATCATATTACCCAATGTCCAGATTGTTATCTTACCCTTCACCAAGATATTTTGGCAAATTAGAAGGCCCTTTCTAAGGTGAAGGTGTTTGTGTGTATTGCAGCTCTAAATCGACTAGACACTAATAAGTTGTTGCAGGTTCGTAGGCCTAATCGAGCTTTTTATCTGGACGTTCGTGTGATGGATTGAAGAGAAGGGGGAAACACATCATTATTTATTGCTTCAGTGAGAAGTGGCTTGAAAGTTGTGGATATGGTTATTTGATGCATTTGATTTATATTGGATAACGTCTCCCTTTATGGTGTGTGTTATGGATTCTAACATGTATGGCTGACAGGTGAGGAAAAAAGTCTATGGTAGGGAGCTCTAACTGCAGGTTTATGGACAATATGGTTGGAAAGAAATCTCTCTTAAGAAAAAAATGGTTGGAAAGAAATCATCAGCTCTTCAAAGATAAATCCTTGTGTTTGAAATTCTGGCCGGTGTTTATGGAAAATTTCCAAATATCTTATATTCTGTACCTCATAGGAACTGGAGAGCAATAATCTTCATCGTCATGTTTTCTGCCATTGTTACTCATTGTTCTTCATCTTAGTGATATTAAAGGGAGCAAAAATTACAAAATAGGTTGTCTCCAGATATTTGCTCATGTGCTACGAAGAACAGTCACATGCACATCTTTTCTTACATTGTAAGATTGCATGGAATTTGATCTATTTGGTTTTTACTAGGTCTTCCTCCCGCAGTTGATTGCTTAATGGGTTCATATAATCATGTAGGGGTGCAGGAGGGAGCCAATCCCCCATGAAAAGGGGCAATATTTGTAGGATTAGAGATTTGGCTGGAAAGAAACTGCAGAATTTTTTATAACCGATATTCTTCTTTTATGAGGTGTGGGATAGGGTTTTAAAATTTTCTTCATTATGGACCAAAAGTCGCGGGAAATATTCCGAGATAGCCTTCTCAGAGCTTCGCTGAAACTGGGAACACGTTATTAGAGTATTTTCATTTATGTATTTCTTTCCATTGCATCTGATATAATTCTTTAAGGAGGATGTCTTATTCTTTGGATTTTTTTTTCTCTCTCTTATTCTAAAAGCTTTTTCTATTAGAAAAATTACAAACTAGGGGAGATAAGCTATCATGCAAAAGAAAATAGAGAAAAAAAAAAAACAAAAATATGAAAGGCAATGGCAATATAAAAAGTTTCTAGAGGTGGTTAACATTGTTTTTCATGATTTTTTTTTGATAAATTTCAAAACATGCTTTAGATGTTAAGGATTGATTCTAGTTCTTGTATTTACCTTTTTCCCTACAGGTTCCCTGGAAAAGCTTAGGAAAAGAACCTGTAATAGTTCTCATTGATCGTGTCTTCATTTTAGCATGCCCCACCCCTGATGGCCGGACTCTTAAGGTAGGAGGATATTTCATTGATGGAACTTGTAGATTTATTCTCTTATCTACTGTTAAACAAGGTCAGTATTCCTTGGTCTAAGTGTGTTTTTTTTTTTGTTTTACTTTGGCAGGAGGAGGATAGGGAGAAGCTTTTTGAAACCAAACTTCAGCAAATTGAGGTGATAATCTATATATAGTTGTTATCTTGCGTCTAAGTTACCCACAAGTT